TTTACTCCTTCTCCCATTCTCACTACTGCACTTGACTAGCATTAAAAAAAAAAAGTCCATTTTATTTCTTTTAAGGTTTGTGGTTGGTGCTTTGGTGTTAAGTCTAAGAAGTCTTTGCCTAATCCTATATCTCAAAGATTTTCTTCTGTTTGTTTTTTTCTAAAAGCTTAATAGTTTGAGATTTTACATTTAAATCTATATGTTAACTATTTTCTGCAGAGGCAGTATATGCTATTAGTCCTGGATCTCAAAGGTTTTCTTCTTTATTTTTTTTTTCTAAAAGTTTAATAGTTTGAGATTTTATGTTTAAATCTATGTTAACTCTTTTCTGCAGAGTCAGTACATTCTATCTTTGTAGAAGTAGGAGGTCTTGTGATGTAGTTTTATAATCTGGCCAAAATGTCTCACAGAAGCAGACATAGTAATGAGGATACCACATGGAAACAACAACAATAAGAACAAAAAAATCCCATAGACAGCATGTTCAGCATTCAAGGTGACAGTGTCACCATAAGTCTCCCCCCATATTTGTGTGAGCTGCTGAATGACTAACAGCAACAAGACTAAAGGCAACTGTGTGGGACAAGCAAAGGGAAAGGAAAAAAAGGCCTTATGGTCATAAGAACTTGATCTTGGGTGGTTCTAAGAGCATAAAAACAAATAGTCATCTTTTAAGGAAAGCATTCCTACTTGCAGTGGAGGACTCTACGAACAGATATTAAAATAATAAATAAAACTGGCAGGGGGCTGTATTAGTCTGTTTTCACGTTGTTAATAAAGACATACCCAAGGCCGGGTAATTTATAAAGGAAAGAGTTTTGTTTTGTTTTGTTTTTCCCTGCCTCATAAATTTTATTCCCGATGTGGGACAGATTCGTTCCATCCCCAAATGAATCACATGCTGCCCTGGAAAGACCTAGGAAACTCTTCCACTGTCTCCAGGGAAGTAGCGAGAAAGGCAGGTGCTGGGGACTGGAAGGCTTTGAAGTTTCCCAGCCTACTTTTTCTCACCTCTCAACAGAGGATAGCTGTTCTCTATTATTCCTCTCATCCACTTATCCCTTAAAAACCCCCACAAAACCATCATTAGTTAAAAAACAAATAAAACCTCTTCAAGTGTTGGGCATTAGGGGTTCAGGCTGGGACTTGGGGTCACCAGTGAAAGAGGAAGGGGAAGAGGAGGAGGAGCCATCACTGTTTCTGCGGCAGGGGTTCCTTCCTTGCCGCATCCTGTAGCAACTGTTTGTGTATCTCGTCTGCTGGCAACTGCATGTATGGAACCACTGAGCCCTGAATGAGGCAGTTCTTCACTGATAACATGTGAGGATATTTCTCAGGGTCTGTGACACTGATATTAGTCAGTTTGATGTTGAGATACTGATCCACAGAATGGAGCATTCCACAGATGCTCAGGTCATTCTTGAGTTCCACAACCGACTTGAAAAAAGAATAGAAGAGCGTGGTGCTGGTGCCACGGGATGGACTGGAAAGAGGGCAGGGGAAAGGAAAGAGGTTTAGACTCACAGTTCCACATGGCTGGGGAGGCCTCACACTCATGGTGGAAGGTGCAGGGGAAGCAAGACACATCTTCCATGGCAGCAGGCAAGAGAGAGAGCATGTGCAGGGGATCCCTCCTTATGAAACCACCAGATCTCATGAGACTTATGTACTGCCATGAGAACAGCACAGAAAAGACCCACCATCATGATTCAATTACCTCCCAGCAGGCCCCTCTCATGACACGTGGGAATTATGGGAGCTACAGTTTGAGATTTGGGTGGGGACACAGCCAAATCATATCAGGGGCTATTCAGGTTCCCAGTGAGGATTAGAGAAAATGTATTGTTGTAGTTAGAGAATCAGTTTTTAGTGATTTTAAAAAATTATACAAATGTTTTAGAATCATTTTGGAAGATCCTGTTTATTATCCAGGGTAAAATAAAGGTGAAATAACAGTAAGGCATAGAGATTGGAAACATCACGAGAAGTCATTTGTTAAAATTAAGCTGTTTCTCTAAACTTGAGAAATATATATGACTTGAAATCTTTTTTCAAAATTTTAACTTTTTAAAATGTTTTAATCTTTTCCTTTTAAATAAACATAAAATGGATATGGCATCTATCAGGGTTTGTATTACTATTGTCTTGCTGCTGTAGCAAATTGCCGCAAATACAGTAGCTTAAAGCAACACAGATTTATTCTCTTATAATTCTGGAGGTCACAAGTCAGAATCAGTTTTACTGGCCTAAAACTATGGTGTTCGTAGGGCTGGTTTTTCTGGACATTCTAGGGGAGAATTTGCTTCCTTTGCCTTTTCCAGTTTCTAAAGGCTATCCTCATTACTTCACTCTGTCCCAAGTTACACTGCCTTTTCTTACATCGTTTCCATTTTCACATCACCTTTTCAGACATTGTTCATCTTGCCTCCTTCTTGTAAGTATTCTTATGGTTACACTAGGCTCACCTAGATAATATAGGATAATCCGACATCTCAACACCCTTAACTTAATCATATCTGAAAAGTTTATTTGCCATGTAAGCTGACAAACACTGCAGGTTTTGGGCATAAGGATGTGGTTATCTTTTGGGGGACATTGTTCAGCTGACCATAGGTTTAAGAGAGTAAAATGTATATTATTTACTTCCATAAATACATGTTTTTGAATTATATTCAGATGTTCAGTTAATATTTACTTGCCTTGTGCCTTGTCATTTCTGATTTCATTTTGCAAAGTTTATTTTTATTCTTTTAAGTTTTTTTTTTAATTTTTCCTGGTAGTCTTTATGAAATTTGTTTGTGTAAAATTACTGTAACAATATTACTTTAGAGTATTATTATTTTGAAGTATACCTCCCTGTTGATTTTGCTCACATTTTTGAAATCATTCACCTTTATGTGACTGATATTCTGGATGTACATGAGAATGTGTTTTTCCACTTTACCTTGAATGTTTTAAATTATGTCTTGTATTGTTGTCATTGTTGGAGTCTTTTTTTTTTTTCTTTGTAGCTAGGAGACGCAAAGAGGAAATCCTCTGGAAGCTTTAAGTACTTAATGGGTGCAGTCTTTTCCAGGACCTGGTCCTTATAAATTTATATTCACAAAAGTGATTCTTTTATTATTATTATTATTATTATTATTATAATACTTTAAGTTCTAGGGTACATGTGCACAACGTACAGGTTTGTTACATATGTATACATGTGCCATGTTGGTGTGCTGCACCCATTAACTCATCATTTACATTAGGTATATCTCCTAATGCTATCCCTCCTCCCTCCCCCGACCCCACAACAGGCCCCGGTGTGTGATATTCCCCTTCCTGTGTTCAAATGTTCTCATTGTTCAATTCCCACCTGTGAGTGAGAGCATGCGGTGTTTGGTTTTTTGTCCTTGTGATAGTTTGCTGAGAATGATGGTTTCCAGCTTCATCCATGTCTCTATGAACTCATCCTTTTTTATGGCTGCATAATATTCCATGCCATATATGTGCCACATTTTCTTAATCCATTCTATCATCGATAGACATTTGGGTTGGTTCCAAGTCTTTGCCATTGTGAATAGTGCCACAAAAAACATACGTGTGTACTTGTCTTTATAAATCATGCTGCCACAAAAGTGATTCTTTTAAAAAATCAACTTTCTCTCAAGAGATTACTGAGAACTCAGAAATGCCAATTTATTATTAAAAAGAAGTTACCAACTAATAAATAAAACAGCATGAATTTATCACGAAGTCTGTGTGGATTTAGAACACAGATCACAGACTGTTGAATGATAATGATGTAAATACTGATTACCATTTATTGAATTCCACTGGAGAGGTCTATCTTCTGGATATTACTAGGTCTCTTATAAATGTTCTTACTCATTAGTTTTACTTTTCTTATACTTTTTTCTCTTCTGTTTGTTAGGACACTCACCTGAAACTTGTTACAATAAGGAGATTACAGCTTTCTTTATAGCAGTCATTGAGGTTGCACCCTGCTCAATTAAATTTGAATTTAGTTTTCAAAATATTGATCAGCATCGTATTTATAAATAAATCTCTCTTAGTGTGGTTATTTTTGCCTGTGAATATTTATTCAGTTTATGTTGAGCCTTATAGTTTCAATTTAAGAAGATATTTTCTGACCTTATGTTCTGATTTTGACATTTTCTCTAATTTATAATCTATTGTCTCTTACATACTAATAACTTACTTTCAGCAGTGCATGGCACAGTCCTTTTTGGGAATTATTGTAATATATAGTGTGGGCTATTTCCAGAAGTATCTACCACCACTACCTGTTTACCTGTGGCTTCAATGTGGGTGAATGAGTTTGAAATTATTATTGAAGGCAGCCTCCAAGGGTTAAAAACTCACAGTAAGACAACCTGTGGCCTTGTACTCTAAGGGAGGGATGGGAAAGTCTACTGTCTTTGTATTGGAGATGTTGGAAAGATTTGGGGCCCTTTGTTTTACTCGTTCCCCCAATTACATCTTAGCCCTTAGTCCTTGTTATTGTAGCTTCACCTGCCTCCAGACACACATCCCTCACAACATATACACAAGCTTCGTATCCAGACTGTCACCTTGATTTTATTTATTTTACCCTAGGCACAGATCTGACCCTAGCTATATTGCCTTTGATACTTAAGGTAAATTTAAGATTCTGCTTCTGTTATTTTAATTCATTCTAGGCCCTACATCTCTGGACCTAAGTGTCTACTCTGTGAGGTATATGGTTTAGCTAAAATAAAATGAATGTCATAGATCATAATATATTTGAAAGCATCTTGAATTTGGATTTGACTCCAAACACTTCCATTTTGTTAATGCTAGCATGTAATAAATACTGTGATAACTTAAAATCTGCTTAGTTTCATATTTTTTATTATTCTAAAATGCTCTTATAAAAATGAAATCAAAGAAAAGCATAATTTACATATATGAGGTTTCCTTAATGTCTTCTTAATGAAGTTGAAATCATTTATATTTAATTTATTCTCTTTTAGTATTGTGCTTCTGCTAAGCCAAAAACAGGCACTTGAAGAACTGAAGCAGTCAGTCCAGCAGCTGAGATGCACTGAAGCAAAGTTTTCAGCACAGAAGGAATTACTAGAGCAAAAAGTGCAAGAAAATGATGGGAAAGAGCCACCTCCAGTAGTAAATTATGAAGAAGATGCACGATCAGTTACATCTATGGTAAGCTAAAGAATAATCCAATGAGAAACTTGGAAGAGTAGTGTCTAGGTAATAAGTGAATACAAAAATTACTCCAATTTGCTATAACACATTATTACTCTTGTTAATATGCAGGTCCTATTAAACTTGTTTGTAAATGCAAAATAGACTTGTCAGTCACCTCAGGTCACCTGGAGAGCACTTTCAGGAACCACCTGTAGAGTCAGAGGAAAAAGTTCTTCTCTTGCCTTCAAAACTGAAAGGAAAGACTGCAGTTGTTTTTATTCCTGGGAGACAGCAGGAAGGTAGGGTCTTATTCTTAAGAGAGAAGTAAACAATAAGAAGAAAGCTATTTATTAATTTTTTTCGTCTTAAGTAAAGTAGAATCTTATCTGAGATTGCTGGTGTATTTATTGCTTTTAAAATACAAAATATTGATTTAGTTTAAGAAGTTTTTTTCTGCTCATAAATGTGATCCTTAAACTACAATAAATACATTCAAATTCACCAACTTGAAATTCATTTATTTCATAGTTGTATTAGCTGTTTAAGAATGCCTAGTATAAAGTCTTTCTTCTCTCCTTTCCTTTCCTCTCCTCTCCTCTCCTCTCCTCTTTCTTCTCTTCTCTCCTTTCTTTCCTCTTTCCTCTCTCCTTTCTCCTTCTTCCCCCCTTTCTTTCCCTTCCCCTCCCTCCCTCCCTCCTTGCCTGCCTGCCTGCCTTCCTTCTTTCCTTCCTTCCTTCCTTCCTTCCTTCTTTCCTTCCTTCCTTCCTTCCTTCCTTCCTTCCTTCCTTCCTTCCTTCCTTCCTTCCTCTTTCTCTTTATCTTTCTTTCTCCTCCTTCTCCTTCTCTCTTCCTCTTTCTTTTCTCTCTCTTCCTCTTTCTTTCTCTGTCTTTTTTCTATTATCTATCTATTCATCTATCTATCTATGTATGTTGGTGGTTCTCACCAAGTGGTCATTCCCCACCCATGACACCCTCCCCAGCACCCCCACCCACATACCTGGGACATTTGGTAGTATCTCCAGACACGGATTGTCACAATCAATGGGTGCTATTGACATCTAGTGGGTAGAGATTGGTGATACACAGAACCTCTTAGAATGCACAGAACAGCCCCCTCCCTTCACATTACCAGCACAAAATTATCCAGATCAAAATATGAAAAGTGCCAAGGTTAAAAAAGTCTGAGCTATATCCTTGGCATTTCCTGTGGGTAACTTATAGAATTATTATAATTATGCTATAGCTGATATTTTAGTAATTTTTACTTTTTGTGATTCTAAATGGTATGATTTGATTAAGTGGATTCATATGTCTCCATAGCCAAAAAAAAAAGACTGTATCTGAGAATATGGTAAATGTAAAAATGAATATGAAGTATTTAAACAACTGTGGTTATTACTATTACATATTAAAATAAAACTATTGTGGTTGTTATTAATATTGAGCCATATTAATCTACACATCACTTTGTGAATTGTGAATTATGAATCCTTGCTCTCCTTCACTGTCCTAGCTATAAGGATCTCAGCATATGTACCAAGGACCCTGTTAAATTCCCTTTCTTGCTTCGTGATTCTTGATAAGTATCTGGCATATGTGTTCTTTCAAAGGAACTTCTGAAAAGTTTTCCTTTTGTTTGGCTTTTGAATATCTTATCTAGTAAATCTTTTGTTCACTGAGTGTGGTTTATAATATTTCCATTACCGTGCGGTTGTGGAATTGGTTATTTAAAGGCTTGGCCAGGCTTGGCCAGGTTATTTAAAGGCTTGGCCAGTGCAGCCTATAACCCAGCACTTTGGGAGGCCAAGATGGGTGGATCACAGGGTCAGGAGATGGAGACCATCCTGGCCAACATGGTGAAACCCCATCTCTACTAAAATACAAAAAAAAAAAAAAAAAATTAGCTGGGTGTGGTGGTGTATGCCTGTAATCGCCCTGCTACTCAGGAGGCTGAGGTGGGAGAATCGTTTGAACCCAGGAGGTGGAGGTTGCAGTGAGCCGAGATCGTGCCACTGCACTCCAGCCTGGTAACAGTGCAAGACTCCATCTCAAAAAAAAAAAAAAAAAAAAAAAAAAAATTTGTGATCATCTGGAGTTTAATATTTCATGATCATTGAAGTGAAGATTTGTTTAATGAATACATAATGTTTCCAAGGTAGTGTATAGTGCAGCTTAAGAGAATCAGTGTCTTTCTGGCACCTTCAGGCTCTGCTCTTGTGTCCATTTATTCAATGGTGATAATACTTTATATATTTTTACAAGATGGTGTTGCATATTTCATTTTATCAAATTTATTTTAAATTGTTGAAATACTAATTATAAATTAGATCTTACCTATTTGCTGAAGCAATGCTTTTAGTTGTTAAGGATTTTTTTGTAAAAGAATATTATAATATATGTAGTTTAAAGCAATAAATTATTATTTTACAACTAAGGCGGCATTTTTACAAATTAATGCCAATTAATGAGATTTTACAGCATTTTTTCAGGAAAATTAGAAATCTTTACAATGCCTAATTCCTAAAACTTAAGAATATGTCTACATGTATCAGTGAATCTTTGTGTAATTCAGTTTTTCAATTAATAATTAGAGTATTATTTTTCAGTTTACTTGGAAACAAAAAGAATCAAAGCTTTAAATGATTTTGTCCCCAAATAACTGTTTAAGCATTGCTTTATGAATGATGTTACAAGAAAAGCCTGAAATTCACATAAGCAGTTCTGTTGATATTTTCTCTTTATAAATTCCATTGTTATAAATGGTATACAATTTCAGTAAGAGACTTATTTGAATATTGGAAGAATTGGAAGAACTCAAAATTAAACTACTGTATCATGGAAAATTGTGCAAATTTGTGTAAATATTATTTGAGAGCAGGAGAGACAATGAATTATTTCCACATGAGTTTTGGAGAGAACAAACATTCTCCATGATCTTCGTTAATGGCAGTGTGACTGAAAATACCGACTCTTCAGTGGTGAGTGCTCCTGTGGAAGAGTGCTCTAAGGAACTGTACCCTTGAAATGTGCCATCATTGGGTATTCTTATAAAGGTTCCAAATGATCAAGTGTATAATCAAGGTTCGGGTTGTATAGTCAAGTTCTTAGAAGTATTGATGTTTATTTTAGCTCTATAAGTCAATGAGAGTTAAAGCTCATTGTTAGAGTTTAAATGTTTATTCTCTCCAAAACTCATGCGGAAATTTAATTGCCATTGTAAGAGTGTTAAGAGTGGGACCTTTGAGAGGCGATTAGGTCAGGAGGGCTTCACCTTTGTGGACGTAATTAATGTCTTTATAAAAGAGGGAGTTCAGCTCCCCTTTACCTCTTTGCCCACCTCCCCACCCCTGCCATGTAAAACCAAAGAATTCTTTCCCTTTGGAGGATACAGTGTTCAATGACCCATCTTGGAATTGGGGATTAGGCTCTTTTCAGATGCCCAGTCTGCTAGCAACTTGATCTTTGACTTCCCAGAACTGTGAAAAATGAATTTCTTTCTTTCTTTTTCCTTCACAACTATACTAATGAGGAAATAAATTTGTTTTTTTGTAAATTACCCAGTCTTAGGTATTCTGTTATAGAAGCACAAAATGGTGTAATACTCCTAACTATTAATTTACAAAAATCTAAAAATGTATAGACACAGATAAATCATCTTCATCAGGACCGGTAATCCCTCTAATGTGGTCTTTTTTCACGTTAATCTGGCCAAAATACAAAGGAGAAAATGATTAATTTTAGTATAATTCTATTTCATTTATTCACTCAGGCAGTCTTTACTGAGTACCTACTATGTGCCAAGCACATTTCTAGGTACATGGAATACGTTAGTGAATAAAAGTAATAAACAGTCTCATCTTTTAGAGGTTATAGTCTATGATGAATGGCAGTTAATAAATAAGTAAATTATATATCATGTTGGAAAATAAGTGGCAAGGAGTAAAAACAAAGCAGGGTCAGAGGTTGGTACCCAATTTTAAATGCAAGTCAGGATAAGCATCATTGAGAAGGTGACATTTGAAGAAAGACTTGAAGCAGAAAGCTAATAAACTACTTCAATTTTGGGGGAAGGAGCATTCCAGCCAGAGGGTACATCCGTTGCAAAGGCTGTAAAACAGGTGCATGTCTGGACTGTTCAAGGTTTAGCAAGAAGGTTTAAGTAGAAGGAAATGTGGAAGTATGGGGAATGAGGTTAGAATAGTAATGGAGAACAGATCTTGAGGCCTTGGATTATGAATTTTCTCTGAATGAAATAGGGAGCCATTGGGTAGGAGGGCTATAACAGAGGAATGACGTGCCCTGACTTTCAGTTTAAATTGGATAGCTATGGCAACTACGTTGAGAATAAACTTAATGTGGGGAGTAAGGATGGAAAGATGAGACGATTGTAGAAACTTACATGACAGAAGATGACAGTTTGAGCAAGGATGGTGAGATACCACTGTTGGTCAGAAGTGTTTAGCTCCTGTATATATTGTGAAGCTTGAGGCCATGAGATTTTCTGTGGATGTGGAGTATGAGAGAGCGGAGTCAAGAATGGCTTTAAGGTTTTTAGCCTGAGCATTGAAGGAATTAAATTGGTTTTAAGTGTGGTGGAAAGACTACACATAGAGCAGCTTTGATGAGGAAGATCAAGCCTTCTGTTTGTTTTTCAAAAACGACAAGTCAGCAGAAATTTGGGTATTTGGGCTTGGAGTTCAAGAGTATGATTTGAACTGGAGGTAAAAATTTGAGAGTTGTAGACATCAGATGGTATTTAAAACCATTTGACTGTAAGAGGTCATCAAGTGAGAGAGGATAGAGAAGAAAAGAGGAACAAAGACTGAAGTCAAGTTAAGAGGTCTAAGAGAAGAGGAATCAGTAGAAGAGACTGAGAATAAGAAACCAGTGAAAGAGAAGAAAATCAGGAGAATCTGGTGTCCTGAAAGTCAAGTGAGGAAAGTATTTCAAAGTAGAGAGAGTGATCAGTTGTGTTAAATGTTGTTGATGGGTGCAGTAAGGTGAGAACTGATAGT